ACACGAAGTCTGGCAGAATGGGTCTGCTAGTGAGAGAAAAGCCTTTGAAGCTGAATTTCTTGCTGGGTTTTACTATGTTTCACCTACATCAAAGGCATTGTTTACATACCACCTCATTTATGGTATTACAGTGCCCCAAAAGACTGGTTTTATAATTACACCATGGATGTATGTTTTCCTGTATTTCTCATCCTGATAAAAAAAAGAGGAATCATTGTATTTTCTACGTGACTCAATCATGTGACACAATGTACTATAATCACTTCACAAATGATCTTATTTCTGTGTGTGTTTGTAATCAATTCCATGATGACAGACTGTGCAAGCAGATAAGTCATGTGATCATCCTTCAACCAATCATGAGTTTCAGAGTCTGAACAATAGGAGTTTGGTTTGGCAGCAAGAAGTCAGTAGAAAGATGAAGAGGATGATGAAGGAAGAAGCAGCGTGAAAGCTTAGCTTCATTTTCCCTTAGGGAACAATTTTATTTTTATTTTTATTTTTATTTTTATTTTATTTTATTTTGTAACTTTAAGTTGTTGACTCTTCGTTATAACGAGGGACCGGATTCATGCAGGAAGCGAGCTCGATTAAATTTTCTTTAATCAACAAATGCCCAGAAGGAAAACCCTTTTTGTCCAGCTTGAAGCCTGACCCAGCCGCTTCTTGATACGTCCGAACTGTACCCACACGGGACCTKCTCTGAGACCGAGCGGTACCGGTTATTCAACCTCGCTTGGACCTGTCGGTACCCTGGGACAGTAGACAAACCTTCAGAAGTGGTAGGACAAACATACTTTCTCTGTTGACGGTGTGCTCAGCTGGTGTGGTGTGGTGAAACCTCTGGATCATTAAGTTGGTATTAAGGAAGGTTTGGCGAGTTAATTCAGGCATAATTAACGTCCCCTTTTATATTGATGAATTAACAACTTCCTTTTATTAACCTTCAAGTTTCTTATAATCTTTGTGAGTGTAGTTTAGCTAAGTGACTCAGGTGAAGGATACTAGCTTATMYTGACTGACTTTAACGTTTATTATTAAACTTAAGGTTTGATGATAATTGTCTCTGTCTGCCCAAATAATCTGTATTGTCATCTCTGAATCATTTAATATAGGGTATATTTTGAAATTTCGTTTGTCTGTGTGTGATTTATTGGGTTTCGTTCTTGAAAATGATAGAATTCACTACTCAGTAATGAAGACTGATTTAAAACCTATAAATTAATTTCCTGAACATCCAGGTGGTGCCCCTTTGTTATGCTAATAATTACGAGGTATTTATGAGTTAGTGTTGTCCATAACATCGACAAACAGCATATCCCTACATAGTAGAGTTAGAGCACTTGTGCGAATCTACAGGAAATCGAGAGCACATTGAAGC